ATTCAGTTTAGTTTTTGACAGCATGTAAAACCATATCTTGACTGGTGTACATATATATATATTTATATACACATATGTATGTATTTATATATATAAATGTACATATATTTAAACTATATATATTTTTATAAATAAAATACATGTACATGTTATAAATAAATCTATGAATTCGTAAGCCGTATAACACATCGTTGCTCTTGCTGTCAAAAACTAAACTGAATAATTTATTAGAATGAACTGATTATTAAACTGACAATAATTCTAACTTATTTGTTTAAATTATAACTCGATTTAGCTACACATGTCCACATGTAACATGCCATAAAGAAGTTCTGAAATTATAAAATTCTCTCAGCAATAGCAACTTGTTATCAACTTGTTGCTGTCATCTGCTGGTCATTTATCTGAACTGCTGCATTACACATGTTTGGATATTTTTCATTAAACTTGTATTTTAACAGTTTAGTCTCACTGAGTCACGAGCACTCATGTTCAAGAGAGACCTGTTTTAAACAACCAAACAAACAAAGAAACCACAGATGAGGTACACAACAAACAGTCATAAAAAACATATAAATTGAAAAGTAAATAAAAGTAGTTACATAAAATAAAAAAAAAATCAAGCTACATTATGAAACAGGGTAAAATACTAAAAACAGGAACATGTCTGCATTAATTTTTGCATTGAACTTAACAGTAGTTTAAAATCCCTTTAAGAGGTCAAAGTCGACAGCTTGAGATCTTTTTGCAAGGTGTTCCAGGTCACAGGAGCAGTATAAGAGAAGGCCCTTTTACCAAATTCAGAGTCTCTTTATTTGTCATTCGCACCACATGCGGTACATGTGGTGGAACAAAATTGTGTACACAGGGTCTCAGTTACATCAAACAATAAAATATAAAAAGTAAAACAGTAAGATCTAAGATATGAACCAAGGAAAACATTAACTAAAAACATACTAAGCACTAGTAGCATAAAAACAATATGCCAAACAGCAGCACGAACATGAGTCTGTGTGAGCAGATGAGCAGGAATGAACACAGCAACATGAAACCGATCAGCAGCAACATGATGTGATTTTTCACAATGTTGGTGGGCAGCATGGTGGTGCATCTAGAGCTGCTGCCTCTCAGTGAGCAGGTCCCCAGTTCAAATCCCGGTCCGGGGTCTTTCTGGGTGGAGTTTGCATGTTCTCTCGTGCATGCGTGTGTTTTCTCTGGGTACTCCCACCAACCCAAAACATGCATGTTTGGCTGATTGATAACTCTAAATTGTCCCTAGGTGTGAGTGAGAGAGTGAATGGTTGTTTGTTTGTTTGACGAGATGTCCACCAAGATCCAAGACCAGGATCATCCATCCATCCATCCATTTTCTTCCGCTTATCCGGGGTCGGGTCGTGGGGGTAGCAGCCTAAGTAGGGAGGCCCAGACTTCCCTCTCCCCAGCCACTTGGGCCAGCTCTTCCGGGGGGATCCCGAGGCGTTCCCAGGGCAGCCGAGAAACATAGTCCCTCCAGCGTGTCCTGGGTCTTCCTCTGGGCCTCCTTCCGGTGGGACGTGTCCAGAACACCTCACCAGGGAGGCGTCCAGAAGGCATCCTAAACAGATGCCCAAGCCACCTCAACTGGCTCCTCTCGACGTGGAGAAGCAGCGGCTCTACTCCGAGTCCCTCCCGGATGATCAAGCTTCTCACCCTGTCTCTAAGGGAGAGCCCAGACACCCTGCAGAGAAAACTCATTTTGGCCGCTTGTATCCGAGATCTCATTCTTTCGGTCACAACCCAAAGCTCGTGACCATAGATGAGGGTGGGAACGTAGATCGATCGGTAAATTGAGAGCTTCGCCTTTTGACTCAGCTCTCTCTTCACCACGACAGACCTGTACAGCGCCCGCTTCACTGCAGACGCTGCACCTATCCGCCTATCGATCTCGCGCTCCATTTTTCCCTCATTCGTGAACAAGACCCCAAGATACTTGAACTCCTCCACTTGGGGTAGGACCTCCTCCCTGACCCGGAGAGGGCACTCTACCCTTTTCCGGCTCAAGACCATGGCCTCAGATTTGGAGGGACTGATCTTCATCCCGGCCGCATTGCATTCGGCTGCGAACCGCTCCAGCGAAAGCTGTAGATCACGATCTGATGAAGCCAATAAGACCACATCATCTGCAAAAAGCAGAGA